GTGGCCACGCGCAGGTAGATGAGCAGCTGCCGCTCGGTGGCCCGGGAGAGCTGCCCAGAGGCACTCATGGCTGGCGGCGTCCGCAGCACCGTCTGCGCGATGAAGACCTGCGGGACCAGGGAACGGTGAGCGCCGCCAGGCCTGGGCGCAAGGCGGAGGCAGCGTCACCAGTCATCGGCGCTGACCCCTCCCCGGTTATTTCACTAAGACCTTCGCCTGAGAACTTGTCTCTTTCAGTTTTTTTAGACAGGGTCTCATTATGTAGCCCAGGCTGCTCTTGAACTCATGATGATCCTCCTGCCTCAGCTCTAGAACTCTGGGATGGCAGGCGTGTGCCACCTCACCCAGCCGTAAGACTTTATAGCGGGTGGCGCACACCAGTGTTCCAGCACTCGGGAGGCTGAGGCAGGAGGATTGCCAGGAGTTCGAAACCAGCCTGGGCTACGTAATGAGACCCTGTCTCAAAAAGAAAAGAAAAGAAAAAAAATTTTTACTTAAACTACATTAATTTATATGAATATATACTGTACATATAGTTCATTGTTTCTTTTCGTTTTTCAGTACTGGGTGTTGAACTCAGAGCCTTCATACTGAGCCCCATCCCCAACCCTTCTTATTTTTTATTTTGAGACAGAGTCTTACTAAGTCTTAACTGCCCAGGCTGGGCTCAAACTTGCAATCTTTCTGCCTCAGCCTCCCAGAGCACTGGGTTTGCAGGTGTGCACTACGACACCCAGCCAAAAACTTATAACACTTTTTTGTGTATTAAATTTCTCTATACTACAGTGTATATTTTACCATTTTAATATATCCTTCAACCTATAATTTATATTTATTATTAAATATAGAACAGATGTTTTAATAGATTATTATATAACATCCAAGTTTAAATGTATATAGCAATTATTATATAATTAATATAATTATAAATACAATTACACATAATTATGTGACGTTATGCACTATTTAATTATAATATTACACAGTGATGCAACTACGAGTGATAATAACATAATAATTATGTTTATAGTCTTTATTGTTTTGTGCTACATCCCTAGCCCTTTTCATATTTTTATTTTGAGACAGGGCCTAGCCAAGTGATCCAGGCTGACCTCAAACCTGCAATCCTCTTGCCTCAGCCTCTCCCGAGTGCCTGGAATAATAGGTGTGTGGCACTGCACACGGTTTATATTTTACAATTACAAATAATTATAATAAGGACTATGTTATTAAAATAATTTGCATTTTATTATGATGTACAGCTACAGGGACATCATAGTATTTCCC